CCAACACTATTAACAAAACAACGTTTCCTTCTAGGATATACTTATTGCAAAAATGGATGAATGACAACTTTTTATCAGCAATCCTTGCATATATATCGTAGTAAAAATCATTGGCATCTATATGATCAACAATGCCAAAAGTGAAGCAAAAAATGAAGCTAGTTTCAATGATGTTTACCACTTTCATTAGGAGTTTGATCATTAGCATGAGAATATATGCTTTGATGTTCCATCAAGGGAAGGTTCTATTACAATAGAGCAACATTACATGTGAGGCGAAAGCATCCATATGTGTCTCAATATTCATACACAAAAACCAGTTCTATATCCTAATACTGATGTCTGATCATGCAAACTAAAAATATAATACAAACCCTAACAAAAGTGTTGCCAACTCGCCCTAGAGTTGATTTCAGCAGTCGCCATTTTAAAAAAGCAGGGAATTCTATAGTAAGAAAAGGCTAGGTGAAGATAGAAGTATATTTCAATTTCACCACAGATTATACATAATCTCGGGAGAGAATTAAAACAAATGCCATCTTCATCATCCAATAATATATCAAGCTAAACGGGATTCAAAGCTTTTTTTCATCTTCCTTTTCGCCATTAGCATGATCTTTCCATCCTTGGAAGTTGCAGTCCTTGCATGGATTCGTCTGCCAACATGGCTTGGCCTCGACCGATTGAACCCATCGCGTGGAGGAGAAAAAACCACTGGCAAGTACTCATTTGTGTGACATAGAAAAGATGAACTCTTAAAATTTTCCTTCAAAGACGGTGAAAAAGGGAAAATAAAAGCGCAGGTTTTAATGTAAAATCAAGAAATTTTAGGCGAATTAACCTAAATATCACCCTATAAACCTAATATACCCTAAATAACACCTGTTTGATCAATATTTCTCTAACTAACACCCTTTCGTCTGAGGTGGCATAAGGCGCGTTTCTGGGGACGCTCTTTCTAGATGATGTGGCACCACATCAATTGGAAAGAGCATTCCAGGGGACGCGCATTTGCTTTATTTTTTAATTATTTTTTTTGAATGAATTTATTTTTTAATTAGGGTAAAGATTTAAAGCTTATGATTTAGAGTTATTATAAATTAGTAATTTATTATGTAAATTGTTCCGGTTATGATTTAAGAATTGTCGAAGGTATTTTTTAATTTTTTATTTAAGGTGAAGTGAATTTAGGTTAAAGTGTTTTTTAATTATATAACCCTAACGTAACATATAACACTTTAACCTAAATTCACTCAACCTTAAATAGAAAATTAAAAAATGCATTCGACAATTCTTAAATCATAACCGGAACAATTTACATAATAAATTACTATTTTATAACAACTCTAAACCATAAACCTTAAATCTTTACCCTAATTAAAAAAATTCATTCAAAAAAATAATTAAAAAATAAACCAAAGACGCACCCCCTGAAACACTCTTTCCAGAATGGCACCACATCAACTGAAAAGAGCGTCCCCAGAAACGCGCGTTATACCACCTCAGATGAAAGAGTGTTAGTTAGAAAAATATTGATCAAACAGTGTTATTTAGGGCATATTAAGTTTATAGAGTGATATTTGGGTCAAATCGTCGAAATTTTACCTGGTATTTTGCAACGCCAATATCATAGATTTTCTTCCTAGTATTTCCGCAGCTCCATTTTGGGTTGTTGAAAACTCTATAGAACCTCAACGCAGCAACATAAGTCGTGAAATTGACGAATGCATACCCTAGATTTAAACCAAATCTGAACAACACAGTGAGATGTGTCAAAAAGCCAAAAACTTGTGATTTTATCGTGCAACTATTTAATTTAAGGCTAAAAAACGATACTTTGGATGCAAATAATCGTCTACTAATAAGGGAATATTTTATGTTGTCAAACCAAAATATTAACTTTTTATCAACATTTTCCATTGAACCCAAACGAAAGGACATAATTTATGTCGCTAATATAAAACATTTTAAATTGCATCTAACCAAAAATCAATGTTTTTTAGCCTAAGTTGCTGCCACTCCTTAAGACTTCCCAAAAACTGAGCTTCAACACATTCAAATGTTGAAAGAAAGACTGTAAAGATTACGTAAAATCCACTGGCAGATATAGGAAATCATATGTGGATTTGCAGAAATTAGAGTCAAACAGAGCCTTTTCATTTTCAGTCCGACAGTGATCGTCGAGCAAGCGCTGCAGTTTTCACCAACCTTAATTCATGTTGAACCGTGCATGCATGCATACACATGCAGTTTCATACATGATGATAGATGCATGTTGGAACTAATGTCATACATCGATGGACGTTAAAAGAGATCAAAAAGAAAAGCATCGGTTCCGTACAAGAAACAGGCTACACAAGGGACAAAGAAAGATGAAGAACCAATGCTGGAAAACTGACTCTCTTCTTCTTCCGGCTTTTACAGAAATGGGTAAAAAGGAACCCATAATGAACACAAAGAAAACTCAACTCCGGTGTGAGAAGAACACACAGACAGCGTATGATAATCATGAGTTCTAAAGATAAGCATGAACAAATCCATACACGAAAGAAACTGGAGAAGAGAAAGAACAAGTACTTAAAGTGATTGGGAATGTTTCTGATCACGAGAGAAGTCTTCCCATCGAACTTCTTCAGTTCCTCAGCGGTGAAAGGAGGTAATAAAGTAACACCATCACAATTTACATCAGAACCAGCTTTGATTGATATTCATGGCATCTTCGTTCCTCACCCATACCATAGGATTATCTCTCGGCTGCCTCAACCTGGGAGGAGGCAAAACCCTACTTTTCTTCTTTTCACCGTAATATGGAACAAAATTTGGGCCATTGAATCCGTTACACCATGGACGCGGCAGCATTGCCGGGTCATATAAGCTCCATGGATTACTATATATAAAGCTTGGAACTGGAAACAAAACCGGTTCAGGTTCATGAAATAGCAGTAAGGAAGCTTGGTAAATCTGAAGAGACTGGAAGAGAAACTGATGATGATACGGGTGAAATTTAGATTTGGAACAATGGGGTTCGAAGCTTAAAGCTGACGGGTTTAATGGCTTAGAGAGTGAAACTTCCATCGGAGATGAAGCAGCAGGCATCTTCGGAGCAAAAACGAAAGAGATTATTAGAAGAAGGGGTTTTTAAAAGGATCACAGCACAAGCAGAAGACTTAAAAAAGGACACACATGGGGCAATTGGACCTGTAAGGGCGATTTGATTAAACTGACAATTTTTCGCCGTAATATTCCTTCTCTAACACCTTTTAACTAATACTTCTCGAAATAGTATTCTTTCGGCTGAGATGGAATAAAGATGAATTCCGAGGACGCGCTTTACTTGGGTTTATGCTGACTAGGATGCCATGCTTGTAAGGCGTATCCCCGGGGACGTGCTTTACTTGGTTTATGCTGACTGGGATGCCATACGTGTAAGGCGCATCCCCGGAGACGCGCTTTATATGAGTTCTGCTGAGTCGGATGCAACGCTGGTATTTTTTTAATAATAAAGATTTTAATTTTATTGATATTATAAATTAGTAATATATTATGTAAAGTGTTTCGGTTAAGGCTGTAAATGAGACGAGACAGATCGTGAGCTACTCGAGATCTACTCGATCAAGGCTCGATAAATATTCGGATCGAATGGACTCGACTCAAGCTCGAGCTCGACTCGAATTCTTAACGAGCCGAAACGAGCTACTCAATACTCGACTCGAAAAGCTCGTGAGTAGCTCGAAAAAAATGTTATATTATAATTTTAGATTTTTTAAAATTACATTATTAAAAATATATTAAAAATACACTATTGATAATTATAAAATTTTAAAAATATATTAAAAATTCTATAATACAACTACCCTCAAATTTTAATTTTTTTTAATTAACCATCCCAAGTCCAATTGTTACATTGTACTTAACTTATAAATCGGTACCAAGTCGATTAATTAATGTCTTTGCAATGAATCCTAAACCCTAAACTCTAAACCATAAACTCTAAACCTCAACCCCTGAACCCTAAACTATAAACCCTAAACCATAAATCATAAACCTAAACACTAAACACTAAACCCTTAATTTGATTATACGATAGGGGTTAAATTATGCACATGAAGGTAACATACAAATTATGCAAAATGATGTTATGTGACTCCTAAATAAATCATTCACATACTTATACATAAACATATCAACATGCAAAATAAATATGCACAACTAATTAAAAAAACAATCCTAAACATAGATTAAATTAAGAGAAACCTAAATATGATGACTAATTTAAGCTAAATATACTAACTTTAAAATGATGATTAAATTCACGTAAATGTAAAATTAAAATTACAAAATTGGAATTAGTTAGGATTTCACTTGTGTTTTTCCATATGAATAAAATCCACAACAAACTTACCTTTTACGTGAGGGATCAGTTAGGATTTCTGATGCAAGTTCGATCAAAACATCTTCCCATCCGAGTGGGATTGGTTGATCATCAGCAAAAGGATAGCTGCATTGGCAGAGTCCTATAAGGTGGGGAAATGGATTGCATTCATAAATTTACTGGAAAAAGTAGGGAGATTTGCTTCAAGTTCTTACTTGTGTGCTTTGCAGGCTTCAAGAGCCATGATTGTTTTCCACAAGTTTTGCTTTGATTTGGCAACAATATTGGCAGCAAAATCCATGGATAGGTCAAACTCCTCTTTCCTTGCAATCTGAATAAGTACCTCCATAATCTGCAAAGTTAACAGCCACAGTGTTAACATGATTAAATGTAAGCAATTTGGCAAGGAAAGTCATTTGATCAAAAAGAATCATTATCACGAGTGGTTTAACAAGAAGATCTTCTGATGCCCAGTGTTGGTATGCCTTTTTTTATGAAAAGCAAGAAAGGGATGTTACTTTGCTTTTACCTCTCGCTGTCGCGTATTGAATTACATGTAATACCCCATCTTGAGGCATGCTGATATATGATGATTGCCATATGCATTTAGCTGTAAAAAAAATTTATGCTACCAAATTATAGGAATACTTACTTCATGTGTTACTGTGGCATCTAATTTTATAACTTTGCAGCTTTTGGTTACTGATTCTAGGATATCTGTGTCATCTTCACAGCAGAGTATGAATTTACAAGAATCCGAGTGACAGTCCATAATCCATTTTATCAAGTGACGAATATTCTCTGCTGCCTTGTCAGCATCATAAAGAACTATAACTGAAACAAATACACAACATTATTGGCTTTGAGTTGATTGTTTTAAGCTGTTCAAGAGGAAGTTTGCTTGAAGAATGAACCGAACCTTTGTAATTTGCCTTGAAACTAGCAGTGCTGATTTCAGGGGTAATTGCATAACCGGCGGTTATTTCTTTGACTAATCCCATTAATACATATTTAGCATTTGTTTCCAAGTTTACATTGAGCTCGAAATGATGAGCACTTGAAGCGAGTGGAACAAGGACCTGTGAATTCCAAATTGAAAACAATACAGTATCCCACATAGGTAGGTTTAAGGCAGTTTTGCGCTGGGGATATTATAAAAGGAGAGGTTACGCAGGTTAAAAGCAGCATTGTGTTGAGGGCAATGAGGCAGCTAGATTCGAACCGAGGCGTGTCATTTGCTAGTTGAAAATTATTTCCAAATGCTCTCTTAGGCCTTGAGCTTGAATCGAGCTCAAAATGAGTTTGAATCAAGCTCATAATTGAGCTTGAATTGAGTTGAATTTTGAGTTTTAATTGAGCTTTTTGATATTTTTTTGAATTAGAGTTTTTTTGAATTCGAGTCGAGTTTCAATATTATATTTTTTGAGTTTGAGTTGAGTTTAAAAATTTTAGGTTTTCGAGTTTTTGAGTCGAGTTTACATTTAAAGTTTTTGAGTTCGAGTCGAGTTCAGTAATATTTGAGCTTGACTTGGCTCGTTTGCACTTCTAGTTTCGGTTATAATTTAAGAATTATGTAATGTATTTTTTAAATGTGTGTTAAAGGTGGAGTGAATTTAGGTTTTAGTGTTGTATGTTTCAGGGACTTTGGTATTCACCCATTTCACGCGACATATCGGATGGAACAATAGATGAATACCAGCTTTGATCTTATTGTAGTTATAGGAAAAATGTATGAAATTATAATATTACTGGTTATATATCTATTATTTTTTATCGATCTATTAATTTTATCACTTAATTATTTAAATGTTATCAATCTAGTCATCTGTTATCAATATTTAACGAAAATATTGATGCATAAGTTAATAAAATTAGTATAATTACACATTTAATCTTCAATACTTACATATTTTATCAATTTAGTCTTACTTTTAATTTAATTTAATAAATTTAATACTCCAATCAAAACATTAAATGTGTCATCGTATACATAAATTTTTTATAACTTTTAATTTGTTTAATTTAATATTTTTATCTACTTAGAAGGTGAAATTATTATAATATTTTAAAATTAATAATTAATTTTTTATAATAAATAATATTAATTATTATATTAAATAACTATCATAAAATAATTTTTAAATAAATTTTTTTAAAAAAATAAAATTTATTTAGGTGTACATACATTGAGAAATTATAGAAAAAGCAATTACATTTAAATATTAGAAACAAAAACATTCATTTAAATAGAATATTAATTACATAAGGGTTAACGATTATGTGATGATAACAGAGTTGTATATTTTTTTCTATTGTGCCCGATGTTTCTACAATGCCCACATCATTTTTGTTCTGTTGACTTCTCCCGAATATCCATATCACTATGTATTCTAGTAGATTTTGGACGACCTGAGTCCCTCAATAGCAATGGATCTGGTACAATTGTAAGCCAAGTTTGAATCTCATATGTGTCTCTTTCATTTCATATGGGCGGAAACTCAAATTCATATACCTTGAATACTTGTGAAAGTTTGTATATGGGATCAACATAATTTTTGTAGTCCAAACGCGAATGTGAGCAAGCTGCAATGACATGAGAGCATAGATATTTGAGTGCTTAAAAGAAACCACAATCGCACCACCTCTCTTGCAGATTAACTCTGAAAGAGTTAGCTTTAATCCTTTGCAGTGGACGTGGCATTTCAGTAACACGAAACAATTCACGGGTGCGAGAAAAATTTGTAACCAACATCCCATTTGATGCAGCCACTTTTTTCTGTAAATCAACTACTAGTCTTAGGTGGTAAATATGGTCGTTTTGCATCTAAGTAAGAGCTTGTCCACTGAGCTTTGCAAAGAGTTGACCCAAACGAAAATAAGTCATTTTGACCAACGCCGTGACTGGTAAATGATGCGCCCCCTTTAAGGTTGAATTTATTGCTTCAACCAAGTTGGTTGTCATATGACAATAGCGATACCTCCCCGCGTCATACGCATTTGTCCACATTTCTTTGCTGATGTCCATAATGTACTCGCACCCCTTCTTATTTTTGCCAAACAGTTCTTGTAGCATAGACTCAAACCTTTGAGGTAAGAGTTTGTAACCTAAGCCATTAGGAATATGTAATAGTTAATATGAAGTATAAATAAGTAATACAAAAATGATAGAAAAATTGGGATAAAGTAACATATCCATCCGCGTGACTAACTGATGTTCATCGTTCTTCTTGTACTTTCCGTAATAGTTTACAGCAATATGACGGATACAATAACGATGTTGAATATGTGGAGGTCTATACATTGTACCCAAAGACTCCATTGATGCTTTTATCCTGACTCCTCGGTCTGAAATAATGCATACTTGTTCCCTGGTGACAACATGTAAACGTAAATTTTTAAGGAAAAAAGCTCAGTACTCAGTGTCTTCTCCTTGAACGAGGGAAAACACAACAAGAAGAATATTGCGGTTTCCATCTTGGACCACAACTAATAATAAAACTTGCTTGTATTTCCCATACAATAAAGTACCATCAATTTGGACAACTGATTTACAGTACTTGACTTCATTAATACACTGAGGGTAAGTCCAAAAGACACGATAGAATTGGCAGCGATCGCGAACCACTCGATCATTCACGCAATGATGTTGAGTTTCGAACTCAACAATTGTCTCGGGATTGAGTCTTTGCACAACATGAAACCAACTGGGTAACTCGTTGTAAGAGGAATCCCATTCGCCATGAAGTTTGCAAATGGTATTCTGTTTTGCCAACCAAGCTTTTTTTATAGGAGACGGTGTACCCATATTGTGAATGTATAGCAGAAATCAACACTGCAACAGCTATATGAGAGCTTTGCTTCACAATGGGCATGATTGCTTGGCAAATAATGTTGGAGTCCAAGTTGGGATGATCCTGGTTTATATTGCTTGCACAACACGTATGAGGACCGTTGTATATGGTTAGTTCTCATAAGTTGTTCTTCCTCTTTCTCTTTGATATACGGGCCATCCATTGACATCCGTTGTCATATTAGACGCAGTAGCAGACATATTTATCCGTGGTAGATCGATCAACTCGGGACTGAACTGAGTTACGAATATTATAACTCTTTATTGCCATCATTGCTTCCTCCTTTGATGCGAACTCCATTCCAATATGTAAATCACCGTTATTGACTGATGACTGAAGTCTATAGTTGCCAACATTAGGAAAATCCAGAAATTCAGGCTCATACATTACATCATAATCAGCCCCATACATATTTGCAGGAAGTTCGGCTGGTGTTGTATTTATCGAAACGTCATCCTCATCATAATCAGAATGCAAACTGTGGTGAGTCAGGTTCAATGAATAATCCCGTTTCAGCACCATCTACACCTGGCTCCCGAAGAGGTTATTCTGGTGGAGATGAGGGTTCCTCCGATAATCCAATGTTGAGGTTAAATAAGTTACCGCTTGCGTGTCATCTCCTTGAACTTGAGGCTATTGTATCATGTGGGATGTGAATAGACTGCGGTCTCGATGGCATTTCCATATGTAAGTCGAAAACATTGGCAGATGAATGTCTACCCCTTGAAGTAGAATATATGTTGCCATATGGATTATTGGTGAAGCCACGTGGGTTGAGATCATAAGCAGTTGCTGATGAATGTTTTCCTATTGAACTTGATGGCATGGCATCTGGTGTTGGATCCGCCATTAATGATGTGAAATCATTACAGATCAGTTGCGTCGGGCTATCAACTTGATCAGCTTGATATGCAATGCCAAAGTGAGAGGAATATGAGAGACCACGAGAAGCACAAACCTAAATAAAAGTAGCATACATTTCAATAAGAGATTGTGAACTCCCCATATGAGCATCAAGCATCATAGAAACATCATCATCGTTGGAAAGCTGAAATGATGTATACATGAGTGAAAAAAGTTCAGTAGGAAATCTATACTGAAGTGAAGATAGTCTTTTTCGGCCAGCTACACGAATCTTTAACGAAATTTTTGTAATTAACTCCTCAATAGTGATGTTTCTCTTCAAGGGTAAGGGGATATAATGATCTGACTCAAAAATAACCCCCTCTTCAGCGTCCTTAATTTCTCCATCATATAAAACAACAGCAGAAAGACGACTCATTTTCAGAGAATAGAGGATTGAGATTTTTGAGAAATTTAGAGTTTGAGAATTTGAAAGCTTGTGAACTGAAGTTTGTTTTGAAAGTCCATAATACGTTGCATATAATAGTGTCTATAACCGGGGTACTATTCAAGTGAAGGCACGTTCCTGGGGGGCGCATTCCATTATTTTATCAGATAATATGTTACCATTGCCCTATTATATCACTCATGTCCCTCGGGGGCACTATTTATGTCAGTACCCAAAGTGGTGAAAGCGTATTCTTGGGGGGCGCCTTCTATTATTTTATCAGATAATATGTTATCATTGCCCTATTATGTCACTCATGTCCCTCGGGGGTACTATTTATGTCAGTGCCCAAAGTGGTGAAAGCGCGTTCCCGGGGGCGCGCCTTCCATTATTTTGTCAGAGAATATGTTATCATTGCCCTATTATGTCACTCATGTCCCTCGGGGGCACTATTCATGTCAGCACCCAAGGTGGTGAAAGCGCGTTCTCGGGGGTGCGCCTTCTATTATTTTGTCAGAGAATATGTTATCATTACCCTATTATGTCACTCATGTCACTCAGGGGCACTATTCATGTCAGTACCCAAAGTGGTGAAAGCGCGTTCCCGGGGCGTGCCTTCGATTGTTTTGTCAGAGAATATATTATCATTGCCCTATTATGTCACTCATGTCCCCCGAGGAACTATTCATGTCAGTACCTATTATTTCTGAGGGGACTTGAAAGCGCGTTCCCGGGGGCGCGCCTTTCATTATTTTGTCAGAGAATATGTTATCATTGTCCTATTATGTCACTCATGTCCCCCGGGGAACTATAGATGGATGGTGAAATCAGGTAAATTATAACCAAAATTTAAGTTCTTTTTGGAAGTTCAGCAAGTTAAGGATAAAATTTTACATATGGATAAATTTAAGTTCATAACTTAAATTAAAATGTTATGTGAAGTTTGAATAAATTGGATAAAATGTTATGGATAAATTGAATAAATGTGAAGTGATCAGTTGGTTGTTTGAATATATTGGATAAAATGTTATGGATAAATTGAATAAATGTGAAGTGACAAGTTGGTTGTTTAAATAAATTGGATAAAATGTTATAGATAAATTGAATAAATGTGAAGTGAAAAGTTGGTTGTGACATTGAAATTGTATGGAATGAGCATCGACATGTTCTTACGAATAAATGTGAAGTGATAAGTTGGTTTAATGTATATGTTTTAATGTATATGTTTTAATGTATATGTTAAGGATAAAATCATATGTATGGATAAATTTAATTTCAATTTAAGTACTGCGAACTATAATTGGAATATAACTTTTAATTTTGAATACAATTGGAATATTAAGTTGAATTTAATGTTAAATTTCGAATACCATAATTTTTATTTTTATTTTAAATTTTGAATACTATAATTTGTATATTAAAAACATTTAATGTTAAATTTGAATAAAAAATAACATTAAAAATATTGTTGTAACAACCATGAAACATTTAAATAACATAACCAAATTACATAAATTTATGAAATATAACTATTTAAATAACATTAAAATACAACTAGATCACCGATGTCGTCTTCTCGAATGAGTTTCACATGGCGGTGGTTGTCTATTTCGCTGAGGATTTCTTCGTGGAACTTGTTCTTCAGTCTCCTCATCTTCACTATCATCATCATCATCGACATTTTCTTCAGCTGGTGTTGTAGATGATGCTGAAGGGCCTGTATAAAATAACGACCCTGGAGTAGTGCTACTAACAATCCCACCACTCATAGAAAATTGAGAAAAGTGTGAAAACATTGGCATCATTGTATGTGATCCGGATGGAGATTGAGGTGTCTGTGGAGAATGACCACCAGCCAAATAAGATGCATATGAACCATATGTTGGATCATTAAACATAGTCGTATATACACCTCCATATGGTGTCATAAAACCCTGCGGGCTAGGCATATAACCTGGCGGGCTAGGAATGTAACCTTGAGGCTAGGAATGTAACCCTACAAAGATGGCATATAAACTGGTGGGCTTGCCATATACCCCTGAGGAGATGACATCTGAACTGGAGGGTTGGGCATCATCATCGGTGGATAGGGATGTTGTGGTAGGACTGATGCAGAACCGGTAGTGTCTTCTCTCCATCTATGAGTCGGGGGACGATGATATTGAGACGGTGGACGTCTCTCTCGGTGCCTAGGAATGTTAACCCCTCGTGCTTCCGCCGAAAGTAGAAACGACTTTCTATTTTCATTAAACCAGTCTATATATTTATCTGTAACCATATGACCAGTTTCAGCGTAAAATTGTCGAGGGGCTAACTGTGAATACCGATTCTCCCAAAGCGCAATCCAATCTCTGTGTCTCACCACCCAGTTAACCTCTTTCTTGCCTCGCCTATCTATATTATGCATGTCGTCTAAATTCCTAGGTGCTCCAGGAATATATTACGTACAACCAAACTGACGGAGCACGTGATCAACTGGATGCCACTTAATAATAGTATAAAATATAAGAAGTACAATTGACATCCAAAGCTCTAATGACCCACTCAGGTGGGGTGGGATGCAAGCCTTTACTTCATTGCTCGCATAAGGTATACACTAAAACTGAAATATAAATATACAATTCAAATAAATATAATATTCTAATTATATCTATCATTTTAAATTAAAATATTCATATTTAAACAGATTTCAAAACATACCTCAGACCCAACTTTTGTATCAATAAGTAAACGGATTTCCTCTAGTCCAGTAGGTATATCTCTATGGTTCTTTCTTTTCATCGACTACCTATGAAATATAATATAAACTAAATATCACCCTATTTAATTAACAATATTTTAATCATATTTTAGTTTGAAAATTACCTCAATAATAAGAGGAATACGTATGGTTCATTGACGATCGGGCATAAGAAAGGCATGCGAAACCACGCCCATGATTACAGAAGCAGGAGACATCCACCGATAGCAGTTTCTTATAATTTGTCGCGTGACACATTTCTCTAAAGATAAATGCCAAAACTGCAGCGCCCCAACTATATCTTCCAGCTTCATCAAAATCAATCAGATGCTGCAACCACATACAATGCACCTGGTTGTGAGATTTTTCGGGCATCAATATTCCTCCAATGATTCGTAGAATATAAGCCGAGCATATGCCTTTACTACATCATCTGAAGCATTTTCATTTAGAACTTCAAAATTAGCTTTCAACCATGATAAAGCTATTCTACATCCATTAAACTCTGGCGGAGCAGCTCCAAGATACTTCATGCACATTGACTGCCAATCACCATCCGTCATACCACACATAATATTCCCATCGCGGGAAGCCCCAGATGCATAGAGACATCCTCCAATGTAATTGTAGCCTCTTCACATGGAAGATGAAATATGTGTGTCTCGGGCCTCCACCTCTCAATTAATGCAGAAATTAGGACAGGTTCGAGTTTGTAACCGCCAATAATTGTTGCAATATACCCGAACCCGGTAGAAGACAAATATGGCAAAATATGTTACGGTGTCAGTATACGTGGGTTTTTAATAAAAGTTTCTAAAATACAATCAGTTTCCTAAATAATATACATTATAAAAATTTATAATTAATATAAATTCATTATAAATTTAAATTAAAAATAATAATAAATATTAACATTAATTATAAAAAATATTAACAATTGAAGTAAGTTGATTCATACAAAATTACCAATTTATTTTAATCAATAGTATCAAAAAAAATTATCATATAGCATCATTCACGATTAATTACATACGTAACAAAGACGCTTTCCGTAAAACCCGTTTTCACATAATGTAACACAATCCAAAAAAAGCGCTTCATGAAAGAAAAACGCTCTCTAAAGCTTAAAATCACTATTTTCACAACCGAGTTAGTGGCTTAGAATTTTAAATTTCTATTATATTTGTTTGCTATTTCACTCAACCTTTTCAATTGTTTGATATGGGATTTAAGCCCTTTTCTTCCTGTCATATAGTTTATTTTGATTTTATAAAATTTTAGTATAATTATATATATATTTATTTCATCCAATAAACTATTATTAAAGAAATTAGAGCTACTAACATAATATTAATAAATTATGTATTTTTGTAACTTAATTATTCTCGTGATTTTCTTTCGATTATTCTAATATTTTTTAAAAATCACAACTAAAGTTAAGTTTTTGTTTCATTTTGTTCATGTTGTGTCACTATAAGATAATGTCACATCATCATTGAAAGAAATAAAAAAATATGATCTCAATAATTTTATTTATTTTTTAACGACGGATGAACAAAAAACAACAAAATTAAAATTTTAAGTATAATTTAAAAAACTGAGTGAGAAAAATAGAACAACAATAATAATTAAATTACAAAATACGTAATTAACCCTAAAAATTGATTGGATTTAAATATCCAAATCCAAGTTATGTTTATGCACTCCGATCCATTGTAAGAAAAATAAGAGTCCATCAACCGAAATAGTTTCGTAGCATAAACAGTCCATTGTAATAATGAAATTACAACTATTTATAATATTCTTTTAATATTATATTCATTTTATTTTAATCAGCTGTTTTTTCAGTACTCGTTTCTTCTTTCTTGGTGTTTGAATTTTTGTTGTTGTTGAAACTTTAGTTTGATGGTTAGGATCCTAATGAAAACAGTTGGGCCAGAACAGTGGAATGGAGTTGTTTTTTCTTTTGGGTCGACTCAGCCATATATGTAAAAAATATTATCCCATTTTTACTTAAATAATATTTTTTATTAAACCTCGTAACTTCGAAGGGATGAACTCTAACAAATTTTAATAAAAATATATTTTATTAAAAAAAATTTATATCCACTTGACGAGTTTTAAAAAAAAATTGATATTGTATTGGACTAGTAAAATCAGCAGCAGCCACAATCCCTTTCATTTCTTCCACTTGTGGGTTAGTTTGCCACAATGGATTCCTGCCACCCAAGCTTTCACTAACCACATGGAAATTTCTACAACTATCATAACATACAATGTATTTTTTTAATAATAATAAAAAAAACTGTTTCATCGCCATGTATGGATGCTGTTCCTTGTTCAATGATAGTTATAGGCAGATATAAATTAAGGGTGGAATGGATGCGAGCGGTTGTTCTTTTCAAAATTTTAAATTATCATATATTTTAAATATATTTTCTCGTTCTTAAGGTGTTATCTAGTTGAAAAAATAAGGCAACCATTATTCATCCAAAAGGAAATGCCAGATAGTTCCCCTAATCACACTTTATTAACAATTTTTTTTTGAATAATATTAACAAATTTAAACAAACGGGAGGCAAGTAGGGCAAAAAGGAAGTCTAATTTGGATAACCAAAAAAAGGTATTTCCACACTACCTTTTTGGAGGTTAGAGACCAAGTTATATAGATTATTAGAGGATAATGATCTTTATTTTTCTTAAAATATAGTATATGTATTTAACGGGAATGACAATCTAAATAAAAATTACAAAAAAGAAAAAATGATTAAAGGAATAGGTGTCCCCTTATGCTGGGATGGCACAACCCTATTTGCATTTTCAAAATTGGCATGAAATTAACATGGAGCTACTTCATCTTAATAAATAAATAAATAATATCTATCCTTTTTTTGTCTTATATAAAAGATAATTTATAATGCTATCCTTATGTAATATAGCTTTGTATATGTAATTATACGTAGGGTTTTGCTCACCTTTTCTTTTCCTTTTAAAAGAGAAAATTATAATCATTTATTTCAAATATTTTATATTTAGTTTACAGTTACATATTTTAGGTTCGTGATTATTACTCTTAATAATGATATTATTGTTAAAACATAAATCAAGATTTTCTTAATAATAACAGAGCATAGTATTTAGACATAACAAATATGTCATGAATAAATGAGTTTATCACAACAACATGGACATAATACCTTTAAAAACGATGGAAGTGTGAAATGAAATATACAATGGTAATAAATGAAGTGATGCATATTTTTTAAGACTTGTAATTTATATTTGAAACCCTAATTTATATTTAAATTATTTAAACAGGAATTAAACGTGTCTAAGCTTACTTAGACTTGACAAGTTTATAATATGAATCACCAGCAGACAAAGTCAGTACACTGATTGGACTTTACCTTGTTTCATGTCCTCATGCCTTTGAACTCGAACCACTTTCTACTTAAACTTTAACTTATGCCCTCTTTTCTATTTAAATATTACGGTTTATCATTTATTTTTCTACTTGTGTAAGAACAAACCTCGTAAAGTTTACTACATTCCCATGGAAATCAGTAAAGATGAATATACTAAAATGATAACCTTCAATAAATGCAGATGACAGTGATTAATCATAACCTTATTGAAGTGGAAAGGATTAGAGTTTAATCAAATGTTTCCATGTAATTATTATTATTATTATTATTTTTAAATGACGTGGAATTCAAATTCTTAATAATCACAACCATACTTATATAGACAACAGGGCTTGCCTTTTGGACATTATGGAGACACCATAATTAGGAATTTAAGCTACATCTTTATTGTATACGATATATTTATATGTATGTAGGTGTAACGTTCTGAAATGGGTAGATGAAGTATGAATGATACATAAAAGTAATTAGTTATGTGGGGGGGGGGGGGGGGGGGGCTTGTCCCCCATCTAAACAAGTCCCACTTTGGTCATAATTGTGTCTTTCCCCCGACATAGTGGTAAACCCCATTTAAGAAATGGGAACAATGAGCCCGCCACTAGGCTTCATAAATTTCACTTGGACCATTTCAGATATATTTGGCTACATGTTATACAACTTTCCACGTTACCTCCTACAATTTGGCATTTTTATTAAAAAAAACTCTTTTTATTCATTTGTTAGAAAAATGACACTCATCAAGAATTATTTGAAGAAATGACCCAAATAGAAATGCTCGCGTTATGCAAAACGCATATAACGACATCTATCCGACGTGGAAGAACTTTTCAGATAATCCAATTTAATATTATGGTAAAGGACTTCACGTTTTGTATAACGTGAGGTCCACATGAAATTGAAGCAGCTCAAGATTTTGTTACGATATTTATTTCTACAACCTCACGTTCTGTAGAATACGATGTCCCTTTGAGAG